ATGTGAACTAGATTGAATGATTTCCAAGGTGTTCTCCACTCAGGCTCTTTCCTGCTGTTTGGGATGTCAACGCGATCGCTGCTGGTTTAATGTGGAATGACTGTGTATGGCGGGGACGGGATTTATGGAGCTCGCCTGCGATAAGCTTATCCACTCATGCTAAAACAATAAATAAAATATAAACCCAGGCCCGACGGGGAGATAGGATCAGCAGTATCAGGGACTGAGGGAAATTACTGAGGCTCTTCCACTGCAAAATAACAAGGCTGGAGATGAAAAGCCATTGCATCAGCACTTTGCCCATCCTCTCTCCTGCCAGCCTGACCCCTCCAGACAGGATCCCGGCTGGCTCTCCCAGGGCCTGAACATTCCAGCCAGCTCAGGGACTTCCCCTTAACCCCCCACCCAATTACTGAGCACAGCATGGGTGGTGGGTGAACCCCACTTTGGGGAGGCCTGCCCCCTGCCAGAGCCCCAAGTCTGTTCCCCCCGGTGGCTAAAGGAGCCCCTGCTGGCTTCAGGGGAGGGTGGGGCCTTGGGATGGAGCGAGGGCGGGGCCACAGCCTGGGTTAGGGGAGGCTTAGCCTCCCCTGGCCTAAGATACCCGCCGCCCATGGAGCACAGAGGCATTTCATTACCCAGTGTTGCAGTCTCCTCCCTGAAAGCAGGCACGTAGGAGGTTTGCTGGGCTAATGGTGGGGAGGTGCAATGGAGAGGGCACAAGACTGGGGCTTAGGAAACCTTGGTTCTTGCCACTTGACTCACTGTGTGACCTTAGGCAAGTCACTGCCCCTGTCTGTGCCTCAGTTTCCCCATCTAAAAAAACCCAGGCTAGTGAGTGGTCCCAATCTCCCTCTGCAATGAGTTTTGACGTATGTGGATGAAAAGTGCTTAGTGGTATTATCCCCAAAATTTTAGGGGCTTTTACTGATGGTTGGCTCTGGGGTGACAAATTGAGAGGCCACCACCTCTTACTTAAGCCTCCAGAGGGTTCTGTTACACTGTCCGTGGCTGGGAGATCCCAGTGACACCATGTTGTAGAGACCTACTGTGTCTGATCAAAGCATGGACGGGAATGGGAGGCGGGGCTTGTGTGGTCCCTTGGATGGCCATCCAACATCACCAGGACTGGGCAGAATGGAGTTCTGCTCCCATCTCCTCCCCTTCTTCCAGTTGGCAAGGGCTGTTCTCCCTCTGCACCCACCTTGCTGGGGCTAAGTGTTGAATCCAGCCTGTGGCTTTGAAACTGAGCTGAATCAAGCAACCAGTTGAGGGACCAACCGAATCACGTGCTCAGTGGACTTGGGTCTTGCAACAAAGGTAGAGCCATCATGCTCTTGTCCATTGGCGGTTACTCTCGGGTATTTTGGAGACACTGGCTTTAAGGGAGGACTCTGCGCCACACGTCACTATATAAGACAGGCACTGCGGTATCCGGCATTGGGATTCAGATCTGGGCTGCCAAGGGTGCCCGAGCATGTCCTAAAAATCGCTTCTGAGTGTGGCCCAGTTTGAAACGTGTTTAAAATTCTTGAATGGCTTGTTGATCCCCTCCTGTGATCAGGTATCTGCTACCATCCTGAGCCCCCTGTCCAGAGAAGACATACTCTAGTGCAAATCTCCCTCATCTAGACTAGCACTAAGTGTCAGAGCAACTGTGCAGATGTGGGATAACTACCCCCAGTGCAAAAGCCTAGGAAAGATAGATCTGTGCACAAGTGTGTTCCAGGGTAAGTCACTCTGGTGCAAGCCTCATATTACACCAGTGCTTTCACTGCCCTGCAGAGAACCCCAGGACAGACAGGGCCGTACACTGTGGAATCTTGGAGGTGCCTTCAAATCAGACAGCCACACTCCACCTTTCCAGTTCTCTCCCGGCTCCTGCTCTCGGGGCATTCGCAACAAAGATGTTTTTGTGTTAATTAGTAGGCTTGGAGGATAAGAAACCATTTTGTAAGTTTCAGACTCTTGGTGTTCTGGAAAAGCTTCACAGGGTAGCTTTGGTTCCTGCTGCTGGCGGTGATCTAATAGTGCCTGGTAATCAGGACTCCTGGGTTCTACTTCTGGTTCTGCCTCTGAGTCAGAGTATTACCTTGGAAAAGACCTGTGTGACTCAGATCTTATCTGCATGAGAAGGGTGTACCTGTTTCACTTAAATCTGATTTAGTTCGACCGGTGCAAAGGCTTGTTTAGGTTAAGACTGGCTTGTGTCAGTGAGGAGCTGACTGACACTACAAGCCACTCTTAAGCTGAAATAAATCTCTGCGGGGTTTTCGGTCAACTTGACTAAACTGGTTTACAAAGACACCTTTAGTACAGCTGTTGCTAGTTTGTGTGTAGACCAAGCCTCAGTTTCCACATTAGTAAAATGGGGACAATACACCTGGTACTTAACCTCCCCAGGCTCTCTGTTTGCAGAAGGCTTTGAGACTCCTGGATAAACACTCTTGAAATAGGCACAAAGTGTTATCATGGTTCTACTTTCTCTAGATCCTGCCGGTGGGAGAGTTTAATCAGCTGGCAACATTTCCAGGACTTAAGGGCCAGTGGAATATCAGCAAGGGTACTGCCTTTTAGAAGGGGAAGTATCTTAGGCGTGTAGAAATGTAGAGCTGGAAGGGACCTGGAGAAGCCTTCAAGAGCTGCCTCCCTCCCACAGGGGATAGGTGGCTTTTCCAGGCTCCAGGAATGCAGAAACTCCTTTGTTCTGCAGCGGGTTTGTTTGCCTGGAGTTAGCGCGGAGGCAGTCCCAGATCAGTCCTGAATCAGCTTATATGGCCTGTACTGACACTTACGGCACTGGCCAGTTACTGCCCCTAGACACAGCTCTGGGTTGTAGGAAGCCTTTTTTGATGCCTCTGTCAAGCATGTTGACTCACTCCGTGGAGGGGGGGAGGGGGGCGGGTGTGAGCACAGTGTTCTAATGTTTTTCTCTAGCTGTATTTTCAGTTACTGGGTTTTGTTAGTTTCCTACTGGATTCAATTTGTCCTGTAGGAGCAAACAGGCCTCGGATACCCCCTGTACAGGCCATGCCAAATCTGAGCCACACCAGACGCCAGTACATCATTGCGTCGCGGGCTGGGCGAGCGAGTGCACCCCAGGGCTGCTTGTGTCCCAGTGGGCTGCCCTCGTCTGGATTCCACCCCTTTGCTCATCCCATCCCCCCCACCTAGCTCACAGGGCTAGCTCAAACCATGCGTTTGCTGAGCTGATCATCTCCTCTGCTTCCTGAGAGCAAAGCCGTGCTATCGGCATCATGCGGTGCCTTTTTTCATGACTGCATCTCTGCTAGCAAGGGCCTTGGGGGTATAGAGGGACTTCCTGGCCCTTAATCTCTTTGGTTAAAGATCAGGAACCAGGTTCCCCTTGGGCACCTATCGCTGCAGGGCACTGCAGCTGGAAAGCATGCCCTCGGGTCGTGGGATATGGGACTGGCATGCTGGAGCCTGTCAGGGAATCCTTAACTCGACCGGTCCTGCTTGCACTGACAGCAGGGGACGAGCATTTGTCCTGCTGCTTTGCGCCAGACTGGGCCCACGTGACGAAGGCAGCCTTGGCCAAACCCTAATGCAGAGCCTGGGGGCCTTGGGTGCTCTGCTTCGCCCCTCTCCCCTGCCCTTTCTCGTGCTAGCTCAGTGGGCACTGGGTGCGTGTGTGTATTTTTAAAGGGTAAGGGATCCTCTGTGGGGAGAAATCTGGGCTAACCAATACGGACATTCAAAGGAGGTTTAAAACCATCTACTCTCCCCTCTGTAGTCATCAGCTGATGCTCCTGTAAGTAAGGCCCCGCTTCATTTGTAATATTGTGGGTCCCGCAACATTAGGCTTCCACTGCAGTTTTGATTTTTAATTAGCTTATTTTGCACAGTCCACAGTTTTGCACACTTTTTGTGAGTGCAATTGGTATTGCACTAACACTCCGTGCCTGTGAAAGGTAAATGGCTAAAATGTCCTGACTCGATTTCTACAGCAGTTGGGTTAAGACTTTTGAGTCTTTTGAATTTTATAGTGTACCAGTCACGTTTTTTTTTTAATGACTGTAATGTAGTCGCAGCAAAATATCTGGTTGTTTAAAAAAATAATAATAATAAATTTGCAGGCATAACAAAACCTGTGTGTTTATATCCTTCCAGCACATTTTTCTTAAACAAATCGGCCTTCTCTAACTTACCGCTATTAATAAAGGTCCATTATTACTTTTCCACGATTTTCCATGTCTTGTCCGCAACTCAGCCGCAAGTATTTGAAGATCACTCCGTGATTCAAGTAGGGCCTTACCCACAAGGATGTGTCTACACTGGCGCTGGAAATTACCCCTCCAGTTCCAGTGTAGACATAACCCTAAGGGAAGGATCCCAGGGCCTCTGGTTTGCTTGTCTATCCAGGAACTTGTGTGCTATAATTGAGGCCCAGTTCCTGTCGCTCTCCAAAGCATGTCGGCTAGATGCAAGCAATGCTCCCAGCCTTGCAAACACTCTAAAGGAGCACCAGCTACTTCCGCTCTGGTCCCTTCCCTCAGGATCAGCCCCACAAGGGTTGCTGGGGACAGAAGGATGGGCCGGGAGAATTCCTTTAAAAGAAAACTTCCCTGGAGAGAGACCCACCCAGCAGGGAAGCCGGCCCAGGAGGGCAGCGCCAGCAGTCTTTAGAAATATCCAACATGATGGCATGAACTTTTTGGGGCATCCTCCTATCCAGGCCTGGCATCATAATGCCCCCTCCATTCTTCCGTTTGACTCCAAACCTGCATTGAACCCTCATGTGTGTTTGTCCCCTATCGCCTGGCTGCATGTTCCCCTGGTCCCCCAACCCCCGTGCCCCCACCCACCAAGAGGCAATAGCAGCATGATGCTAAACAAAACCCGAGGGAGGGGACTTTAAACAGAAACAAAACCAGGCTTCATCTCCCAGTTTAAAGTCAATGGTTCTCCAAGCAGCATCTTAATGGTATTTTTTTTGTTTTGTTTTGTGTTTTTTTGTTTTGTTTTTGTTTTGTTAGCAACCCAACTACTGGAGCTTTAAGGTCAGTATTTCTGAAATTGTTTTTCCCCCCCACGCTTCTGTTGAAAATGCATGCGCTTTTTCACCCTTTCTCCGTCTCTGTGTGCGCAGCTGGGGGTTGGGAGTCCGGGGTCTCATCAGGGTTGCAGTGTTCAGCTAGTTGTGGGGTGTGAGTCAGGAGCGGTTGACGCTCATGAGAAGGACGCAGCTGCTATTGCCAGGTTCTGCAGGACGGGCTCTTGCGTGTCAGAGTCCGCTTCGGCTCTCGGTTACATCCCTGTAAATCCAGTCAAAGCACTTCAATCGGTGTCTGCTCTGGGTTTACACCCATGTAGCAGAGAGCAGAATCCTGGCTCCTTGACTCTGGGGAAAGAGCCGTGAGTGGAGACGGAGGCTTGGGCCTTTCCAGGTGGGCTCAGGAATCCAGTTCAAATTCTTCACCCAGGTGCTAGGTCAAAGTCCTAGATGGGAGAGAAATAATTCAGATCCTCAGCCTGTTCCTGGTCAATCCACAGACCAGAGGGTTCCAAATACAATGCCTCCCTCCCCTGTGGTCTGCTTGTCACCATTTTCACCACTCCCCACCACCATGTGCAGCGTGCAGAGTGTCAATCTGCACTGGGCTTGCACGATTACGCCGCACCAATCGGCTTCACTTTTTGCTTCTTGTGCACAAGCCTATTGTGTTTGGGGTTCCAGCGGGGTGGGGAAAGGCAGAAGTTGTTTTTAAATCCCATCTCCCGCCTCCAAACGATTTGTGTGTGGATGGGGGGGGGGGCTCAAACCCACATCTGAGCCTGGGTTTACAGTGCAATATAGACATACCTTGAATGAGCTGTTAAGGGTGATACGCAACTAGCATCCGGTTTGTAACAGACTTGGAAAGAATAACAAAACTAGCCCGGAAGTACATTGAAGTTTGAAGCCAATAAAACAGTCTCTTTGGACCCTCTGCTGCAGTGTGGTGCCATGGAGGCCTTGCACACCAGGAACTGTGTGATATGTCTGGTTGTGAGCTGCCACACCAGGGCATAGGCAAGGCTGGTCAGTCCGCTGGGAAGCCAGCAATCCGGGTTAGGGTTTAGGATCTTGTCTAGTGGGTGTCAAAGCCCCGATGTGACCAGTTCTAAGCGATGTGGGATGGCGAACGTAGCATATTGGAACAGACCAGCCTGGGATCCAGCAGTGCCCGGTCTCTGATAGGTCAGAGGAAGGCAATAATAATCATCATAATGCACCTGACCAGGTGGGTGGTGCTGCGCAGGGGAGAGACTGATTCCTTTCTGGCCTTTGTGGCAGGACAACAAATACCCTGAAGCATGAGATTTGAGTCTCCTTAGCAGAGATAACAAGGAATATTGAGAGGCAACTTGGCCTAGTGGTTGAAGCAAGGCTCTGGGCACCAACTAGCTTGCTTGGGTGTGGCTTGTGTCACCGCTCCATGCCTCTGTTTCCCCATTGGTAAAGCAGGGAGAACACCTGCCTCCCTTCTGCATGGTGCCTTGAGCTTGTCTGGTGGGGCTGTCTATGTAAAGCTGCCCATGGTGCTGTGTACACGCTCGGTCTGGCGGTAGTTAGATCCTGAGATGAATAGAATATTATCCGCTCCCTCCTTGCATCTTCCCACCGGCTCCTCGTCTCTTGCCACGTGACGTTCACACCCCTTATCCCGTGCTAGGGCTCTGCAGAGCTCTCGGAAACCTCCCCTCGCAGTGATTCACACAGTGACCTCTAAGGGAACTGCAGGGGAGCCGCACTGTCCTCGTTGGCACCGTCTCGCCAGAGCTCCGGGGAGGAGAAGAGGCTTGGTGTCCGAGTATTGACTTACAACATAGCTGGGCCCCAGCACTGGCTCAGGGGAAGTATTGCCAGGCAGACTGAGCTAGGCGAGGGGTGGGCTGTGCTGGTTGCTCTGGGTCTTCGCCTGAGATGGATCAGGCTTTTCTCCCTCTCTCGACATCGCTGCTCCCCCACATCCCATGGATCTTACGGGCTGGTGCAGAACAGGGGGGCAGGTGGAACATGAGCAGCAGCAGGGATGTGATGTGGGCTGGAAACTCTTCAAGGTCATTCAGACCCTTCTTCCCAATGGAGCTCGGGAAAACCATGGACTTGCCTTAGCGTGCATTGGTGCTGCAGCCCTCTCTGTAAACCTCCCAGGCAAGGTAACAGATGACGCCGGTGTTAAGGGCGCAGCAGGAAGCCGGAGGAACAGGCAGTGACAGGTGATCCCACCTCCCGTCGACCATCTCTGCCTCCAGGCTTCACCCACAGCTGCTGGGTCTCCAACCAGCCCGGAGTTCCAGCTCTCAGCTGGTCACTCAAGGCTGGTTTGGTTAAGGTCGTTTAGAGCAGACAGCGGGAATATTTCAAGGTCAGGAATGTTGTTTGCTCAAATCACAGAGCAATAGAAATTGTGATATTCCCCTCTGAGGAATGACTCCTGCTTCTTACCCCCCAGGAGAGGAAGGGGCTGGTTGCTGCTAGGGCACGGGACTGGGAGTTCTGAGATCTGGGTCCGGTTCCAGACTCAGCAGATGGCTTAGGGGTGAGTCACTCCAGCTCCCTGTGTCTGCTTCCTCATCTGTAAAATGAGGCTAATGATACATGCTCTGCAGCAGGGGGTTAACTCATGATTGTCTGTAAAGGACTCTGGCATCCTTGGACTGAGGGTAAAGTCTTTTTATTATTTATTGTATTGCTCTGGGCATGGTCACCTCCTAAACCGCAACCCGGCATCCCAACAGGCCCCTCCTGGCAGGGCCGAGGACCCCGGCTTTCCCACTCCTCACTGGCAGCGCCTGGGCAAGCCTTCGCCCCGTTGTTGTGCAGTGCAAAGTTGGCCTGTTTCAGAGTCTTTCCTCCCACCACCTTCCCCTACTGAACTGTTGGCTGAGCGATGCCGCAGCAGCCTGTCAAGGTCAGCAGCGTTGCCGGGAGGTCTCGGTGCGCTGTCTCAGCACGGGTGTGGGGTGGTCCGCCAGGGGCTATGCAATGGGAGGTGCCTCTTTCTGGAGGACACAGCCTGGGTCTTTGGGGCTGGGTGACATTCACTCTCAGTTCTGGCTGGGAAGGAGAGATTAGTGGCATGGCCTAGCAGCCTCCCTGGCTGGATCTCCTAAGGGAGGCTGTGACCCATACCCCATATGGGGAAGGGCATGAAGGGTTAAATCACTCTCTGCCATGCAAGGCATGGTCCTCAGCTATCTGACCCCACCACTCAGAGGGGCACAAGCCCTGGGGACTCAGCCAGGGGGGAGCCACTCGGTCTGCCTAGGAAAGGCTCTCCAAGAGCAGATGTTAGGGGCATATCCTGGGGATTTTCAAGCTGCCTACTTTTCCCCTGGCCTGCAAGAGCTCTTTTGCACCCCTCAGCTTGCATAAATGGAGAGATTGCCCTCTGTATCAGGCTACATGGGGCCAAGCCAGGCGAGATCTGGAGTGCCATAGACCCTCTGTCCCTAGCCTGTTTGGAGGAGGAGGATGCAGTGGGGAGGGGGACTATCATGATGGGGGCTATATAGGTGCCTAGACAGACAAGGAGGCCCTTCTGCTGACATGCCCTCTCCTGCCCAGCATGGGGTCTGTGCCAAGCACCTGTCCGCTCCCTGCCCCATCCTAACGCCAGGCCCTGTAGGGTTGAGCCAGCCCCAGCTCATCACACACATGACGTATGCTATCAGTCAGGCTGCCCATCAATCCAACCTCTCTCCACAGCTGTTGTCACGGAGCTTCTGGTCTCCTTGCCCCACTGCATGTTTGAGTCCCTCAGCCAGCCAGCCTGGCAACCAGCGACCTTTCGGTTACCTAGCAACCGCAGCCCAGGCAACGGGGATGGGGCGAGCAGAGACATCTGCCAGGGCCCTTAGCTCCTGTAATTGTCAAATAGTTTGGGGAGTTTGATCCTCTTGATGAACTTTTCCATCTCTCAGCCCAAGTCACTTGGTAAGGGCCTGCTCCACCATTCTGCCCCCGCCAGGCATAACTGGCAATAAGGCAGTCAGTGGGAGTTGAGCGCTCATCCCAGGATTGAGAACATGGCGAGTGTGAATGAGGGTGGATCTCCAGACTGGGAGGAGATCCCACCCTTGGAGGACAGGGCATGAGCCTGGGAAAGCCCCTACCCCCCTCCATCCCCGTCCCGGGCTGCCGGGGGCATAGGGTGTCTCTTACACGTAGAATGTAGGGGAGAACTTGGCTCGTGTGAAAGTCAGAGCTGGCTAATGCAAGTTGAGAGCTAAGCAGGATGCAGGCAGCCTCTGAGCAGTCTTGGCCGGGGCAGATCTACCCATGCACCTCCATCCCACCCCACCACCCCCATGCTCTTCCAGTCCCGAGCATCTCACACACAGCTCTGCCAATGCCCGTCAATCCTGATCCACAGCACCCGGTGTTCGTTGCTCTCCACAGACAATACCACCCCTTGCCCCTTTAGCTTTCTCCTGGAACGATCCTGTGCAGAGACTGCTCTTAAAGCCAAATTGTGTTTGCGATGTGGACAAATACCTACTAAGGAGAGGGATGAGACCTCCTAAAACTCATGTCACCTGTGGCCTGAACAGAGAGAAAAGAAAGGGCTCAGCGCAGGTATTTTTAGTCCTTCCAGGAAAACTCCTGTTGAGCCCCAGAACTTTTGGAAACTTCAGATGAAGCAGAATAAAAGTTACTGAAACATCCTATTGTAATGGGCTGGAGTGAGAAGGAAAGTGTGCATTGCTGCCTTCTGCCGAGTGAAACTGAAATGTCTCAGCTCAGTGTCATAAGCATCATACTGCTAACAGCAAATGGAGATTCTCCCGTAGCTTAAATGGCAGGGCCCTGTGCTTGCTGGAGCAAGCTGAGTTCTGTCCCAAATGCCCACCACCTGCAGCATAACATCAGCTAGGAAGTCCTGTGTGGGCAGAGGTTTGTTCATGTCTGGTGTGGGTGTGGGACTCCTGGAAGCGTTTCCCATTCCGCTGGTGGACTGGAGACTCGAGGCGTTTGCCTAACCAATCCTATACGCAGCAGTGCTATTTACTC